TATGGTTGTCACAGTGACATATTATGAAACATTGTAGCTCAAGAATATCAGCGATGGTATTAACATACAGCCGGTAAAAAGCAGAAATGATCTGTCCTGGATTCCCAGAAATTATTTTGGTCAGTAGAGTGTTAGTCCGGTGGAGGGACTTTTTCGGTTAGTAGAGTGTTAGTCCGGTGGAGGGAATCTTTTCGGTTAGTAGAGTGTTAGTCCGGTTTTTAGCTCATCTCACCCCTTTATAATATTGAATTATCATTCGACTTTTTAGGCTCTTTGTTTTATTTATATATTCCATTTCTGCTAGCTATTCAACTCTCAGAAGTACTTCCCAATGATAAAATTATTAAAATTCAGATGCAAAGATGTAATGTATTGGTCTAAGCCAGGGGCATCCAACTTTGTTTTTGGATGGGGGTTGAAACAAATAAAATGCTTAAGGTCACGGGTCACACGAGTAAGAACAGTTTGATAATTAAATACTAAGCTTTAACATAATTATTATAGGCCACATTTTTATTACATGGCTGCAATAATATTGGTAAATAAGATAGTGACATATTGTGGTAGATAGATAGAAAATTATCAGAAAACAATACAGAAAAATGGAATCAGAATTAACTAAACTACATATTTTCCAAAAAGCCTGTCTACATAGCCGCGGGGCGCAGTACGTGAGTGGGCTGTAGGCATCTCGCGGGTCGCATTTTGGACACGCTTTCTTTAGCCTTTGTTGTTATTGGTTTTACCAGCTTTAAGCACACGAGAGACGTTTTACATGGCGGCTAGAATATGGTGGAAGAAGAACCCGGGAAAACGGAGCCATATTTTATTGTGAAAATGGGATGGTAGATACAACTTTAAAATAGACTTCTATATCATAGCGACAAAAATAAAGTAATTACGATATATTTCACAATATCTGCCATTTATATGCTCAAGTCTACTTGTTTTTTTTTATATGTCAGATGTGATTGTCGACATGCTTTTGTTGTATTTGTTTGAAGGTACTGGACACTGTTAATTAAGAGAGAGAGAGAGAGAGAGAGAGAGAGAGAGAGAGAGAGAGAGAGAGAGAGAGAGAGAGAGAGAGAGAGAGAGAGAGAGAGAGAGAGAGAGAGAGAGAGATTATAAATTGACTTTTTAGTTGTAGAGTTATTCTTATGAATGATCAATTGAGTTTTATATTAATTTTGTTTATTTTTGTGACCGATCTGAAACGGTGACTTGGAATTTTTTTTTTAGATGTGCTGTATATTTGACAGCGTGGTCGTGTTTCTTGTATAGTATTAGGGTTACTGTTCAGAACGTCGACAGTGTTATAACCTATCGTTTGTTGGTACGGGGGCAAACTAAGTGCAAATGGATCCTAAATTAAGAGAATCTTTCAAAAGTGTACATTTACATTAAAACTTCTGATTAACTTTTGATGTACCGTCGCACACGTGTCGAGCAATTGTCACTTTTCCGTGATCTGATTGGTCAACAATAACACATCCACTTGACACACCCATGACGCACCTGTTACTTCCAAACACTGCAATGCCAGCGGTGACAACCACTGCCTGATACAATATTACTTTTGTGAATGGATTCCAAGTTAAGAAAAGCCCCACAGTACACCTATGGTAACATACTAAATGTTTGTCTTTAGATAAAGAGAGATGAATACGTGATGCAAATATAAAGAAGCAGCGCAGTGTATGTTGGTTTTTAAGGTGATACCTGTAAAGTATTTGACCAAATTGTGTGTAGACAAGGAAAACAAACAAAAGCTATATACCTTTTCCCCCTTGGTGGGCCTCCTCGATACCATTTTTAACCTCATTTCCTCATTCAAGTGATCCTATTGGAGATCAATATAGTTTTTAATTGTATGTAGGATAAAATATATCCAAGCTGGTCATATAAGGACCACGTTAACATCAATAGCTTAGCTGATAGGACTAGCTCTACGCTTAAGGGGACAAAGGGACATTTACAAACTGTACTCCGGAAATTTTCTCTCCGCTTCGTTATAACAATGTCAGACCCCGAAAATACTAGGATATGGACCACCCTATTTACGTCAGTTGTAGTTGACGTCATGTACTTTACATTGTAGATTTACCAGTCCGTCCATACCAGTAATGTCACGTCTGTCACAGATGTGTTTTCTGCTCACTAACTTTCAAATGGCTTTAGGTATTAAAATAAATTTTGGTGATTTTTTTTACGTTTTCCTGCAGAGTTGGTGCTCTTTGTTTGACTGAGAACTCTGCCTTTCGGTTACGTTTCCGAGATAAAGTTTTTGAAGGATTTCGTCCATTGAAATCAAATGCGGTTTATGTTCGATGTTCAATTTTTCCTTCATATTGTAGGTAGTTATTACTGTCTTTGACCCTGATGTGTGCCGTACAATTTGCGCTTAATAATTTCTGTAGGACTTAATGGATTTAAGACAAACCTGGTCTTTATATCGAGATAACTATGGCTTGACCTTTGACCCTGAAAAGTTAGATTGTACCTTTCCTTTTTTTTGCATTATACTGGGTTGTGGGGGAATCCTGCGTACACAGCTTATCGTATAAAAACTGGCATTTTCATTTGAAAGTTTGTTTTTTGGGGGTGGGTGGGGGTACATGTTGAGCTAATAGCGGAATTTCTCAGATCAAGTATACTTCATCAAACAATTGGGACAGAAACGGCTTTCATAAAGGAATGGAAAAGGATAAAACTGCTACATCTGCAATGTTTATACTAAGATGTACTCAGCATTTAATAAGATAAATGTGATAGTATTGAATTTCCCCATGTTTTTCCTATTCAGAATGTAGCATGATGAAATATATGGTATTGTCCGGAAAAGTGGGCTTGTCAACTTCTCTCGATCTGATTGGTCCGTGAGACACACCTCCAGACACACATCTGACTCGACGCACGTTGAATGAAAAACAAAACAATAAAAATACATGTTTCATAGCTGGCTGATGTAATATCGTGGTACTCGGCACTCAGTGTTGAATGCAGGCCAGTAGAACGAATCAAATATCTTTGATCTACAGACAGGTCAATACATGTATGGAATTTCATCGAGAATTCCTACCATACCTTTTGTAAAATTATACATGTATACGATTTCTTTCACTTTAGGTCGATGCACAAAATGCAGGACACTGACAATTTTCTGCTATTTAAAAATGTTACATTTTTGGAAGTTTTAGAAGATGGGGATGAAAGAAAGACAGAAAATGAAAGGGAAATAGATAAAACGAATGATTCGGAAATATACGAAAAGAAAAGAGAGTAAAAAACAGCAATCGTATTTTTAAAAAATATCGTTAAGTTCTTTTTAAAGAGAAGTATTTTTTTTTATTTCTGACAGATTTGAGTTTCACTTTAACTTCAAGAATTAAAATGTGGTGAAGATTGTCTCATACGAATTGCGTTTATCAAAGGTGTGTATGCTTTACTAAAAATTAATCATAAACAGTAATTACATGAATACATCTTTCTCTTAATAACATAACGGTAAAACAAATCTCTTATTTGCTTAATTAGCAATATCAAACATGTTAATTTACTTAGAAAATGACATAAAATGACCAAAGAATATCACTCTGCTATTTGGTGCATCTCCAAATTAATTTTACATCATCCAGTTAATTGACGTTGCTTATAAAACAGAAAGGAACGGATCAATAAAGAACTTAAACTAAGGGAAGTATATTAAAGACGTTTACTATTGTTTAATAGTCCCACTCTACTGGGGCTCCCTAAAGGTAAAATGGTAACATATATGAAATATTAGGTCATAGACGGTCGAGTTTTTAAAGCTTCGTTTAAAAGTATACGAAATAAAAGCTACAGGTAAAAAAATCAATTCCTTAAAGATAGAGTCAGAATTTGTTAGATTCTTCATTCATTTAAAAAGTTCACGATATTCTTTGGTGGTACATCATCAGAAAACGGAATTGTGACATTTTGAGTGGTCACTTAATTGTGATATTTTGAGTGGTCACTGAATTGTGGTATTTTGAGTGGTCACTGAATTATGATATTTTGACCTCTCACCGATTTGTGATTGTTCGAGTTGTCACTGAATTGTGATATTTTGATCGCTCACCGATTTGTGATAGTTTGAGCGGTCGTTGAATTATGATATTTTGATCGGTCACCGATTTGTGATAGTTTGAGCGGTCACTGAATTTTGATAGATTGAGATGTCACTGAATTGTGATAGTTAGAGTGGTCACTGAATTATAATAGTTGATTGATCACTGAATTATGATATTTTGAGAGGCCACCGATTTGTGATAGTCTGAGTGGTTACAGAGTTATACGAGGAGGGTTCACTGCCTTGTGATATTTTGCGTGGTCACTGAATTATATTTTGAGAGGTCACTGAACTATGATAGTTTGAGCGGTCACTGAATTATGATATTTTGATCGGGCACTATGTAGATAAGTTGTGTCGTCAGGTAAGGAATACTTAGTTTTGATTGGAACTTCTTCCTTTTTGCAGAATCAAATGTAAAATGTAAATGTACATATGCAATGTGATCCCCACCCCAATCTCCATCGTTTGAACTTGACTTAGGAAAGAACATAACGGAATGATGGTCTTCTCCAAACCCACACACTCTTCCTGGACCCTTCTGACCCATAGTTAGACCTGGTTATTTCAAGGACAACATTGTCAAAAAAAAAAGGGTTAAAGCTCGTGTTGATTCTTTTAAAATTTACTAATCCTAAAAGTTTCTTTATGAATTCATTACAAACGCAATATGATTTTAATTTTGTAGAATAAAATTCATAAATGGAATACCTATAAAGTTAGTAAGTATTAAACCAAAGTTCAGAATAGATTAGTATTCATACAGAGATGGGAAGCATTTGAAGTATTTATTACGTATGAGTGTGCGCGCGCGATCGTGTGTGTGTTTGAGAGAGAGAGAGAGAGAATAACTCAGTTTATTTTTTTCAAATATATGTTGTTTATATGGATCTACGTCTGGAAATGAGACTGCTCAGGTGGCCCTGTGGTTACAGCGTCCGCCTCGGATGCGGGAGGTCAAGGGTTTGATCCCATTCGAGTCATACCAAAGACTTATAAAAAAAAGTAATAACAGCTGCGTCGCTAGGCGCTCAGCGTTAAAAGTTAGTGTTAGGACTGGTCGGCCTGGTGCCAAGATAATGTGACTGGGTGGGACATCATGCTACACGTCTACACACACACACACACACACACACACACACGGCTGAAAATGCCATTTGTGTTCGGTAGACGCAGTCGGAAATTTCTATCCGGTTATATTTCAAGAGATTTTTTAAGGTAATTAATGATATCTGCTGAAGGTGATTCAGCATATCTAGATCCTTTAATTATTGATCCTGGTTTATAACAAGAATATTTCAGTAAGATGTTTACCTTGAACTCTTATCAAGATTTTGTATGACTACCTTTTGGTATCAATCTAGTACACTCGCTATTTCAAAGAACTTGTAAATTTAAAGTTCCGCTTCATGCTTGATATATTACCCAGGTCATAGTAATTTCATTGGCTGTTTAGGACACACCTGCCATGATGGTATGTAATTTCATTGGCTGTTAGGACACACATGCCATGTTCTAGTTTGTTAAAATTCTTATCTACGGTGAAACGTATTTCTACATCCGTAAAGATTTCGATTTTTGTCAAGAGTTAAGCCAAGCCAACGCTGTAGAGCACTTTTATTTATAGCAAGGTTCATCTGAATGTTTTTTATAATTATAATTATTTTTTAGGACTTATCTATACCAGAATAATGATGTTAGATTTTAACCAAATTTTTTTGTTTGCTGATTTGTTGATACGCCCCAGAAGCAGATATAATTTATCATCCTTTAGATGAGTTATGGTCCTTCATTGCATGTACCTCATAGAGTTTCGTTTCCGCAGTCTCTCCTTCACAGGAGATTGTTCGATTTGAACCAAATGTGTGCAAGTAACTCTTTTTTGAATAGACCTTGAACGAATTCAATTTCCAACGTACATCGTTTACAGGTGTTGTGACTTGATGTGACCTTGAACGAGTTCGATTCAAGCGTTCCACATCTTTAACAGGTGTTGTGACCCAGAAGAGACATTGAACAAGTTCCATTTCCCGCGTTCCACATCATTTACTGTTGTTGTGAAGGTCGATTGCCGGTACTCCTAAATGTAAAACAGCTACAGATTGCTATCTCGATCGATGACAAGAAGAAATGAAGAATACCTCAAATATAAAAAAAAAATAAATAAACCAGTTATGAAAGTTTCGCATTTTTACCATCATTGCGTCAATTTAAAGAGTGTAAGCAGCTTTTGGTATGCATCGGAGGATTGGCCGACTTGCTGATTTTGATTTATTTAAAAAATAATTAAAAATATAAACATCTTGCTTACAATCCAGGTAATGAAACAAATGACCAGTCACGTGATCAAAGTACCCAATGCGCGAAAGAACTGCACACTACAATCAGATCTAATATTCTAATTTCCGTATTCCTTCCAGCAACACACATGTTGAAAGATTATTTTTGTAAGATACAGTGAACAGTAGCATTCAGCTAAAGTACTGCCAATATAATTAACTAAATTATAGAATACTGTAGATCATAACTTGAATGATATTCATAAGATACTTTATTTATTTCAATGCATTAAATATATTTGTCTTGTAAAATTATTTGAAGCGATCACAATTTGAGTTATTATTATAGACTACACTCAGAACTATATCGTACTGTGCATATGTTAGATCAAATTTAATAATCGGTTGCTGAATAACCTTTTTTTGAATCATGCTAATCCCTCTACAAGTTAAACTAGTAATCTATCAAGTCAAGTCATCTAGAGTTTCAATATTTTACCAAAATCATTAAATTGTCGACATCGCCAAGATTATTTAAGTTTGCTGTTTGTATTTGTTGAAGCTTTACGTGACATCGGAATGTTTTTTTTTTTTTTTTTTTGCAATTTAGTATAGCATACTTTGAAATCTGTTACTTCTAAGTTTATTGTTTGCTATAAACATTTTTCTACATCGCTATTTCAGATTTTCAGACGAGTTAAAAGATGAATGCATGTTCACTATATGTTTTGTCATGCGCGTGGCTAAGGTAATCGTATGGTGTTGAAGCGAGCGTTGTTTAAAAAAAAAAGACCAGAACAACCATTTCATTATTGAGTTTAGCTCATCAGGTGTCAGTCCTGTGTCATCTGTCGTCCTTTCACAATTGTTACCTATAACCTTTAGATCAATTTGTAGAAGATAATTCTGATATCAATGCCTTTCAAATTAGTTTCTTTGGATGTCGATCCGTCGCACAATGAGATCAAGGCCTTTCAAATAAGTTTCTTTGGATGTCGATTCGTCGTACAAGAAGACTCCAGTTACAAAAAGTAGTGAAACCCCTTAAACGAAATAATCTCAAAAACATGTAAAGAATCCAAAGCACCCTGAGGTGAAGGTCTCTAATACTTCCTCGAATGACTATACTAATGGCTATAATTGTCATCACCCCGAATTTTGATAAACTTTTAAACAATCTATATCGTGCCGATACGTCACCAATAAAATCGGTGATATTGGAATAAGAAAGACCTTGAACCATTTCTATATAAAAAACCCTCCAGAATTTTACCAAAATTTGGGAAAGGGCCACTTTTCTTGAAGGTCTTTCAGATTTATATCATATGTTGCTGATCTGCCATCAGATATGCCCACTATAACTAGAAGGTACACCCCCCCAAAGCAATTCAACAATTTTATATTTAATAAAAACAACGCTTAACAATTTGACTATTTTTTACACAAAATGTCTCGAGATAAAGGCTTCTCAGTTTTGGATAAATGGTGTCGATTTGCTGTTAAATGTTATGGTTGTAGGGTTTAACGCCATTTTTCAATACAAGATAAGCTATAAATGGAGGCCAGTATAAACCGGTATAGGAAGAACCCTGGAAAACCCCTGGAAGAACCACCCACCCACGAGAAGCTACTGGCAGTATTTCTCACGTACCGACAATAGCCGAGCCAGAGAATTGAACACACGCAGACTCAGGTGCGATGGCAGTGATCCGGAGCGGTGAGCGCTTTAGACCACTCGGCCAGTCTGGGTCCCCTGCTGTCAAATTATGAAGATACACAAATAAGTTCAGAAACATTCTTACAGTGCATTTTATAACGTTTGTAATCAACAACATTGGAATAAATTTCTTGAGAAAGCGCTCAAACTATTCGGACAGCTCTGGTGGCCAGTGGTTAGAGCGTTCGCTTCGGATGCGGGAGGTCGTGGTTCGAATCCCGGCCGAGTCATACCAAAACTTACAAAAATGGCGCAGTCGGGCGTATATATGTATGGCGTATATCATATTGACCTTGAAATGTCATTTTGTAATAGTAATACTGTGTTGCCAGGCACGTCTTTACAACACAGCACATATATTGAACTGCAGCCTCTCTTGTCTGCATAAGATGTATGGCACAAGAGCAAACTTGCTGTGCTCGATGGATGGATGGGGGGAGTGTTGATATTAGTTTTGCTATTTAGTTTGTAGTTCATACATCCAATGAACTGTCAAAAGCAACACTCCATGCGTATGGTACTTTATTGTTACTAAGTGCAATTGTTTCTGCTTTATTTGGAGATAAAATATACCATCAAGCAATTATTTTTTTACATCAACATTTCGGGCTGTTAAAACTTGTATACACAATCTTGTACACAATCTTGGTTTGGAGTCATAAAATTCAAAGGCACCTGCAAGGAAGCCTCAAACTTGGATACAAACTGCACTTGAATTTATATATTGTTACATAGGTAAATACTTTGTTCATATTGATAAAACATCTTCTCAGTGCATTGTTATATCATAATCCACTTATGCTGACACCTGGCCTTAGTACTGTATACTGTAATACACTCAGTCATGCTACTGGACTAGCCATGATTGACCAACCTCTCAAGGTGGGAGCGGGAACAGCTACAATTTACCAAACAACAGCAAATCCCATTTTTGTTTGAAAATGTACAGAAAAAAATATTTCAAAGAAAACTGATTATCTTTGAAGGACTGAATGCCATTGCTCTGTATCCAACACCAAAGCAAATTGGAATAGAAAACACCACAATAATAAAAGGGCATTTATTGGGTCCTCCCACGTTGGCCTGCCTTTAGAGGCGAATTCAATAACACATGCACCCTTACTCATAAGGAGTCAGCACCAGTCTTGAATAAAAGCAATGGAGTTGTTTTTGTTGGGTTTAATGCCATTTTTCAGCACAAGATAGGCTATACATGGCGGCCAGTATCAATGGTAGATGAAGAGCCTGGGGAAAACCCTGGAAAAAACACATTGACCCATGAAAAGCTACTGGCAAGCTTTCTTACATACCCATATTGAAGACATTGAACCCATGCAGAGGTGAGATGGTAGTGACCCATAATGGTGTGTACTTTAGACCACTTGGCCAATTGGGGCCCAAAAGCAACGGAATTGATTGCTGCATATTCCAAAGTGATTGGAACATATTTCTTGTGTCATGAAAGTTTTCTTTTTGCAGGAAAAAGTTTCTGCTTATTATTACAATCAATGGACAAATTAAATTCGAATCTTTCCAAACTATTGATGACCGTCAAGTTAACTGAAGGTGTGGCATCTTGCAAAGCTCTTTGTTAAACTTTTTAATTTATTCATGTTTTCATTTCCTGTTAATAACTTCGTTTCCTTTGGTAGCCTTGGGGATTGTCCATAAAGGACGTATGCAGATAATACCTGTATTCCTCTCCCCCCACGCAGTTGTGTACATCCCCATCTAGCAGGACTGATATGTGGGCCATGTAATCAACCTCAAGCACAAGGAGCCAGACCTATGTATGAATGCCAGCCCATTCATATATATTCTGTGGCACGAATCATACAAATTGAAATTAACAAATAATTTATACTTAGGGATCACCCATAAAGGATGTCTGCAAAACATACTGGAATACATGCAGTAGGCCTAAAGTAGGTGTTCAATACAGAATATAACAAAAATACTAGCTTGCAGATGTCTGCATGGTCCTTTATACCTACCCCATCTTTGCAGAGGTCCTATATGGATGATCCTTTGGCAAGATGAAAGTTGTTTTAAGCTGACCAAGTCTATGCTATTTTAAGTACATGTAAACAACTATACAACCACATGCTAATGACAATGAATATCAGTGAATTTTTCAATGACATGTTTGTTGGCAATGTAATATAGATCCAGTGAGGACTTCCATTTTTATATGTTATTTTTAGTTTCTAATGGGATATGACTGTTACAGGACTTTTTTAACATGTGAGCTAGACCTGAATTCATGGAATTTTCTCAAACCTGTACAGTACTTAATGTATTATTGATGTTAATACACAAAGATAAGTTGTCAATATACAAATGTGTTTTAGACTAGTTTTTGTCTTCATTTAACAAAACTTTTCATTGTTTATTTTGAGTGTAAATCCTCTCACTGAAAACAGATCACCTCTTACAAGTTTAACTTCTATGCGAAATTTTATTTCTTTCAGTTTTCCCCCTCTCCACCACTTTTCTCACTGTATTAACTTAGTCCCTAGGCTGTCAATATAAACGGGTAGTACTGTAATATGAAAATGGCTACAGGTTTTGAACATTGACAGCAAATTATTGGGGTTTGGAGATGCTTTTGGCTATAATTTTTTAAGCAAGCACCAATCCTTTGCAACAAATAGCATTTGTACACACAATGACAATAACAGATTTATTATAAATTTTATGTGATACAACTGAGTCTGGGACACAGTCTTGATTGAGGAAGGGAACCGAAACATCTGATTAAATATAACTTACATATGGAAACCGATTCTCATCAGCATCATACACCAACAGATTGAAATCAGAAATACTCTGTAAATCTGGTCTGTTTGGTAACTGATTGTAAAATTCCAGAGTAGTAGTACCAACAAAGAGCCACATTCAAAAAGGGATGTGGCATCTGTGCCACAAATGTTATACTAGCTTCATTGCAAACTAATTTTTCTATGAGCATGGCCCTTTTGTTATCCTAAACAGGGATGGCGAACTACTGACTGTCACCAGTTTGCCCTATTACATGAATGAGTTTAATTGTCTCAAGTACAATTTCAAAAACTGCAGTTCCAAACCCATGGAGCTCAATAGCTTCTTGCCATCTCTCAAATTGATTTTAATCCTTTATAAGAATATTTAAATTTCATGTGGGCCAATAGTCTTTCCTGCATTGAGAAAATAAAAATCCACACAAGATGTCCCCTAAATATAATTGTTGTCCTTCCTGCTGTATCACCAAGAATCAGAATATTCCTTTTCCATCTTTTATACTATTTAAAGTTTTATGAGATTTATTGATGCTTTTGTCCTGGAAATATATCACATGCTGGATGCCATTCTTTGAAAATAACCAGTTGTTTGATCATGCAAATGCTTTGCATCACAAAAGTTTGAGAGGCCCCGAGTGGTCTAAAGCGCTGTCCTTTACGGATCACTGCCATCTCACCTCTGTCTGCGTGGGTTCGAGTCTTATGATTCAGCAATGTGGATATGTGAGAAAGCTTGCCAGTAGCTTCTCGTGGGTCAGTGGTTCTTTCTGGTTATTTCCCGGTTTCTTCCTCCACCATTAATACTGGCTGCCATGAATAGCCTATCGTGTGCTGAAAAATGGCATTAAACCCAATAACAACAAAACTTGTGCAGTTCAAAGCATGGTTCCCTGATCAGCTCCATTGAATCTAATCACAGGGAATCCATTATCCAGCTATTACCACAAACAATTGTATTTCCATTATGTTTTGCTTTAATTCCAGAAGTATGTATTTAAGGGTCATTTCATGGCTTGCATGCATTGGTAAATTCTCTATAAATGTGAGGAATAATTGTAGCCCTAAAATGGCACATTGTAGTACACATAAAGTAAAAGATAAAGACTCTTAATATATGTTCCAAATGCAAACTTGCTGAAATGTGTTGCTTATTTAGTGTGTGAAATGGAAGCTTGTCAAGTCTGGCTTCGAGCATTTGGTAATTTACCAAATCAATACACTTAATAATCCAAGCATAATTGTCCTGTCATTCAGAAAAATATGTCAATGTATTAATACAAGAATGTGAAAACAAATGCCTGGTTGACTTTCATGTAAAAAACTTCTTCACCTATGGATATTTTTAAAGCTGCTTGGCAACAAAGACATAACATTTTTGAGATGATGATGAAGCATGTAGATAGGTCAATAATTTGCTGGGTTAATTTTTGCATCACTATTACAGATAGGGCAGGGGTTTGCTACATTTAAGAAATCTGGAAAACATTCATATAATACCCAAGCTGACAAGCTGAATGATGTTTGATATTTTGTTGCATAAAGTTGATAAATTTTTTGGGTCCAAATCCATCCTATTAATTTGGCTGTGACAAATGTACAAGGATGGTCATATATTTCTTTCTCAGTCACTTTTTGCTCAAAGATGCTCAGATTTTCCGGCAATGTAATTTACTTCTGAAGATTTAGCATATCATGAATTATATGTGAAACTACAATTTTAGTTCTTAAATCAGTGAAAAATTACTGAAAGTACTTGCTACATCATTAAGTATTGTACAAGTTGCATTGATATATTCATCAAATGTTGGGAATGTTGAGTTGAGCTTCTTGTTCATCAGTAATTTATATTTTTGTCCAATCATTCTTTTCTGATGATATTTATCCATCAGGTGTCTTGCATTATTTGCTTCAGGGATTAGCCAGTTCAATTAATTATCATATTTTACATCCTTGATTCAACTGGTGTATGCGTATCAAAAACATCAACATTATAATTGTTTTTTAAGGTACACTATCTAGCTCTCTAAGAAGTTATTTTCATTTCCATTGCTGAAATTTCGATACATTATTTGTTGTGACACAAACTGGACAATGGTAAAGAAAAGCATATACTAGTATAGGAATGTTTACTTCTTATATATTTTCAAGGTGGATTGCACAGATATGATTAATTTGTGGTAAATTAGTTCCAGTCACTCTTGTTATTTAATTTATAAATTGTACATATTTTTAGTTTAAGCTAAACCTTCTTCTGTGACAGCAATCAGCACTGTATTCACCCAGTAATAGTTTTTGGAAATTTTATATGGTAGTAAACTCCAGGTTATTGTGTTAAAACAAAATTGGGTAACCTAAAAATGAACAAACAATAACAGTACTAACTCAACCTTATGTTAGCACAGGAAAATACAATGGCCAAGGCAATAAAGCTGGAAAAAGCATTTCTTCTC